TTATATGTCGATGACATATTGTTAATGGGTAACGATATTCCCGCTCTCACTTCTGTAAAGACGTGGTTGAGCGAGAACTTCTCCATGAAAGACTTAGGGGATGCTAGTTATGTCCTTGGCATAAGAATCTACCGAGATAGATCAAGAAAGTTAATAGGTCTAAATCAAAGTACATATATAGATAAAATCCTTGATCGATTTAGCATGTCTAACTCAAAGAAAGGATCTTTACCTATGAAACCTGGCACGGTTCTTTCCAAGAGCCAGAGTCCTTTTACTCCCGAGCAGAAGGAACTCATGATGAAGGTTCCATACGCTTCTGCATATGGATCCATCATGTACGCCATGATATGTACTAGACCTGATGTCTCATTCGCTTTAAGCGTGACCAGCAGATACCAGGGAAGTCCAGGAGAAGCACACTGGACAGCGGTCAAGAACATCCTCAAGTATCTTCGCAATACTAAGGATGCATTCCTGGTATACGGTGATGAGGAAGAGCTAAAGGTGGTCGGTTACACTGTTGCTAGCCTCCAAACCGACAGAGACGATTCAAAATCACAAGCAGGATATTTGTTTTGCCTGAATGGCGGAGCTTTTAGTTGGAAGAGCTTCAAGGAGAATACAACCGCCGATTCGACTACAGAGGCTGAGTACATAGCTGCCGCCGAGGCAGCTAAAGAAGCTGTTTGGATCAAAAAGTTCATTACTGAACTTGGAGTGGTTCCTAGTATTAATGACCCTATCTCGTTGTTTTGCGACAACATTGGGGCCATTGCACAGACAAAGGAACCGCAATCTCACCAGAAAACCAAACACATTGTATGATGCTATCACATCATACGAGAAATCGTAGATAGAGGAGATGTGATGATTTGCAAAGTAGATACTGACGACAACATAGCCGATCCCTTGACCAAGCCTTTAGGAAAGCTAAAGCAAGAGGGTCACACTAGGTCCATGGGCATTCGACCGATGCCAGATTGGCCATAGTGCAAGTGGGAGATTGTTGGAGTTGTGCCCTGATGGCCAACTGTTCATTGTTATCCTATCATGTGTAGGCAGATATAATATGTTTACACATCTCATGCTAATGTAAACGAATATTATATTCCTAGATTTCTATTTAAAGATGTTTATCAGATAGTGTTATTCTGCTGATGAGACTAACATCTTGAAATAAATATTTATCTGAATGTCCATAGTCGAGTATTAACGAGAGTGGGATATCGTTAATGCATGTGAGACAAGTGTGTGTTGGATATTTGACTTAGTCTCATAGTCAATGACAGTGTGTTCGCATCCGCACATGGGCAGATATTATATGGAGATAATAGGATGCCAGACTGACCCATCCTAAAGATGTTGCTTGAACTTTTAGTTCATGCTCTAAGCATCTTTAGCGCGACCACGGGTGTAACTATCCTTTGACTTGAAGTATTATGTTTTCTGCATATGTGAACCCGCATACTTTGATGCATTGTCCTAAGCCATATGAAATAAGGATCGTATACAGGCTTTGTTTTGGGTATGCCACAGCGCGTATTCAGAAACGTAGATTACGTACATAGGATTTGTCACTACTCTTTTTAAAGAGATTAATGTCTTATGGGGCCCACTGATAAGTTATGACTGAGGATATTGCATGGCCATGCTGAGATGCTTTTATGACGTCTGTTCCTATTAGTCAGACTTGATAAATTAGTGAATGACTTAATGGATACAAGTTGGATTTTATTAATCTCTTGCATTAAGTTTAGACATTGAGACAAAGGGATACAGTTACACGGAGTCTGAGTCGTGGAAAGGTTTTGACGGTGCAAACGTCTTAACTTATAATCTGGGGGCAATAATGTGTTGCTAGATACCGCTTATTGCTTATAGTATTGGTGCAGAGCGAATACTGTGGCCAGCTTTATAAGTGCCTATACGGCTCACACACTTTGAACAATTTAAGGAGTAGGATTAAACAATGGGATAATAAGTAATTTGTATATTTGTAAAATAGTAAAATAAAATATTTTTGAATATAATATTATATATGTGATATTCGGTTATATATATATTATATATATTTGAACCGATTAATATATATATTATATATTGAATATTTTAGTTTGGTTTGTCATTTTAATTATGAAAATAATTATTTTGACATAAACTATTTAAAGTATATTTTATACTTGTTTAAAAATGATATTGGTATTTTTATTTGATTTAAAATTAATTTTATATTATTTTTTTTTGGTGTCAAATAAAATACACTTTGAACATTTAAGTGGAGAAGAATTTTGAAAATCCTTCTCACTTTCTCAAATCAAAACATACGGCTAATTGGGATCTCACTTTGTCCATAATCCTTGATTAATTGTTCATTACTTTATCTTTTAGCTTAATGACAAAATTGACAAATCATTTGTTGAAAACATGACAATT